GGAGAATGCAGGAAAAAAGAAAATCATAAAAATGGCAACAATAAGTACCCCAATGCCAATTGTCACAATAATAAAGACTATTAGCAAATTTATATAAAAGTTATTGCAGGACAGCTCAAGGAGAAGAATGAGTTTGCACATATACTGATTACTGCAGTTGTCTATACATGAGGTCAGAAACACTGCATTTCTTATGTAGCCACAGCCCCTAAAACCCTCATCCTTAGACACCCCACAAAAGGAGTACTTGCAGAGAAAAAGTTACTGTGAACAACAATGGCTTATAGATGGTGACATAGTGATCATGCACCATTGCTGACAGGATGAAGGACTCAGAAAAGACAAACAGAAGAAAAAGACCTTATTCATATACTCTGCAAAGGAAATTATGTTCTTTGAAACAAATTGGTCAACTTTGGGGGGAATGACAGTAGTAGAGTAACTAAAATCTCTGAGGGACAAGTTGAAAAGGAAAAAGTCCATGGGGATGTACAGGTGAGATTTCAGCCCTATCATGGTTTTAAAACCCAAGTTCCCCAACACCGTGACCATGGATAAACCTAGAAGCAGAAAGAGAAGTAGAATCTGGAGTCCCAGCTTGTTCCTTAAGCCTGCATGGATGAACTTTGTCATAAAATAGGAGTGCTCTGCAACCATTCTTCTCTAGGAGGGTCTATGAGAAAGAAAGAGAGAGAACTCAATATGGAAGTTAAAGGGGTGGAGGGAGGAGAAAAGAAAAAAAACATCAACTAAATGCTATGAAATACACTCTCTTCTAAATGGTGTGTTGCATTCCAACTGTCCTTATTTTACAGATGATGTAAAATGATGCCTTAGCAACTTGAACAAAGTCCCAATGCTACTGAGATGCAGCAGTGGGTGGACACAAGTTGTCAGGCTCCTGTACTTTCAGTTTCTAACCATTCTGCTGCAAGACGTGGTAGATGAGGCACTCACCCTCTTCAGTTAGGAGATACACTGCTGCTCTCTGCTGCCTCCCAACCATTTTTTTAATGGAGACACAAATGGCCCTGGAGGAAAGAAGGTTATAACTTGGAGTTCAGATGCCTCTGCTTCTGCTTCTCTTCTTTCAGAAACAAAAACATCTAGTTTATCTTGGTTATCTTGTTGAGCTGAAGAACTTGTTCTCTAATTGCACCTTTCCAGCTTCCAGGGAAGGAGCAGCATCCTTTTCTAGCACAATGGATAACAGAAGTTTAATGGGTTTCATTCTGCATTGGAGACCTCACAGAGTGACTTACCGAGCTCCTTGCCCAGAGACCACCTATACTCCCCAAGGAGAAAAAATGTTAATTTCATCCTTGAGAATGCTTCAGGTGCTCTTAATTACTGTTCATTCCTTCAAGTTACATATTTTTAAGTATAATTAAGAAAAGCACTATGGGGGGAAAAAACGATTCTAACTAGCTTTTTTTTTTTTTTTTTGAGTACTTGGCTTTGCACCAAACACTGTGTCTGACCCAACACCCTCATATGGACACAAAAGATTCCACAGCAATGTACAAACAACTTTGATTTATTTATTATTCACAGCAACTTCACAAATTAGATCACAGCTAATAAATTTCAGAATCTTAAGTCAAACGCTAATCTTTTTAACTCAAAAACCTCATAGGTCAAGTGATTTTGTTCATCTTCTGAAGCTCATGATATTTAATGTATATTACTGACAGCACCTAGTTTTGTCTCCAGAGTACATGCAGTCCTGGCTCCCCTGAATTATACTTATTATCAAAAGTTTTCAGGAAGGGATTTCATTAAGACAGAGACTAATAAATTTTTATGTGGTGACTTTCCTTCTGCACCCCTACACATGCATGTGCGCATGCATGGTGAAGTGGGGGGCTATATTAAAGGATGACTGCTCTCATAACCATGAAATTAATCTCAGGAAGTTTGAGCTTCATTGTGCCAGTGGGTTACAGAGGTTTTTGATCATGGGCTAATGAAAAAAAATTCTTCAAGAGGTCATAAAATCTTAAAATCAGAAGTACATCTTCTTCCAGGCAAGTCCAACTAGAACCACTGCACACAGGCCTGAGAACATTTTTTAGTATGTGCACATACACCAGTGAAAACTTGCTCAACCTCTGCTCTGTCTCAGGAATAATGGGTTCTCATTGGCCAATTTACACCCAGAACTATCCACATCCCACAGTGACTCTAATGAATCCCAATCCCTTTCCCCAATCCCACTGCACAGAGAAACAAAGAAAAACAATTCATTAAAACAAAATTAAGATAAGCCCATAAGGCAGGCTCTTCTTGAGATCCAAGAGCAAAGAAGACGTTGGAAGTTCTCTGAAAGCACTAGGGGATTTTGTCTGTTATTTCAGAGACAGTTTCCATGGCAACATCATTTCCAAATGCATTTTAGGCAGGGTTTCTCTAAAGCTATGTTACCTAATGACTTGCTCCAGTACAAGCAGCTAGAAAAAAGAAAAAACAACTATTTTGATTTTTTTTCTATTTTGTATAATGCCACCAACTTTCAAAACTTGAGAAAATGAAAAGTATCTTCCCTCTTCTGTTTATTTAAAATATACATTATATGTAACATTACAGAGCATGTTAAGATTTACATACAATAAAATATTTTTACATATGTATCTCATGCATGTACATTAGTTTCAGACTTCTGGTAGATAATTGAATTATGGAAGTATGGTCCGGCGCCAATCACTAAATACCATTAGGTTCCCAACTCCAATAAAGAAAAGTGAACCTGGTGAGAAAGAAGAGAAGGTAGCAGATAGGACTCAGCTTCAATTAGCTCATGAGGAAATAAGTAGAATTAAATCAACCATCAGAAGTCATGTGGGTTTGCATTAAAATGAACATTAAGTTGATTTTAATGAACATATCCTGCAATATAATGTGCCAGGTTCAGAGATACAAAAATCATGGCTCATGCCAGAAAGTAACTTTAGGTCTAATAAAGTGTCTCCCTTCTGTCCTTTGTAGTTCCCATTTACCAGGGTTCAGTTTCTAACCTTCTACACTTTTTCTGCTTCCTTAAAACCTTAGCTCTTTTGTCTCATGGAGTCAAAAATACCTCTATATAAATGGCTCCAAGTTTGTATCATAACTTCTCAATCCTCTGTTGAGCTCCTTCCTTGTGTATCCAACAGTTTTTCTGGATATTTCCAAAAGTCTATCCTACAGTTATCCCAGAAATTGAGTACAAAGATGAACACAACTTTTTCCCAAAAAGTAAATGTCCTCTCAATGGCTCCCCTTATTTAATTGAGTGTAATCAATGGTGAGGAAGCATAGAATTCATAAATTTATTCTATTTCCGTTTTTCTAGAACAGTTCCAGTTTAAACCTAGTATTCCATTTTGTTATTCGTAGCTTCCCTTTCACCCTGAAATGTATCCTAATTAAATAAGTATTCTAAGAATGAACTTTAGACTCTGGCAGACTTCAGCACATATCTGGCTCTGCTACTTACTAGCTGTGATCTTAGGAAATTTGTTTAACCTATGAGTTTCTAATTTTTATGTTAAAATAAGGAAAATTACCACAATTCAAAGGATTGTTTTAATGAATAAATGATGCATCGTCTGGCACAAAGACACAAAAGTCATTTGTTATTGATATTATTATTTAGCAATTATGTATTTTGAAATTTTTCTAAAATTTCAAAAATTCATTTTTAAATTTTTATTAATGAATAAAATGTGTTTATTATTTATAAGAGTAATCTTAGCCTGCGGCCAACACAGGCTTCATAAATGAAGGTTCAGCGATGTGAGAAATCCTCAAGGAGTTTGAATTAAAGAGACAGGCTCTAATTACCTTTAAACCAGCTCCAGGACCGCTTCTCCTAGCTCCAGCCTCAAGCCACCTATTATGGTAGCGAGGTTTACTGGAGAGGCTAACGAGAGAGTGAGAGAGAAAGAGAGAACACACCAAGAAGTGGACTTTTATTGGGGAACAAAAACTTCTGAGGAAAATCCCATCCAATGAAGATTAAGGGGGGGCAGTGTTCCAAGGTCAGATTGAGTCTTCAGGGTAGTGGCCAGACACGCCTCCACACGGACAAGCCCTAGGACCTGAGAAGGGTAGGGAAAGGTCTAGACACAAAGATGTGTCTAAGCGCCTCTTGCCCAGCCAGGGAGGTAACTCACATCATGTGCAAGGATGGCCTCCCACAAGTAATAATAACTAATGTCCTTGGATAAAAGTAGTTTCACAAAGGATGTAACAGGAAAAGACTTAAAGAAGGGATAGCAATTCAAAGTCTTTACACAAGAAGGAGAAACAGAACAAGTGAACACAGCCTCATATTATGACATCATGATAAAATGAAAAGCAGGATTTAGAATTTCTATGGTTCATGAAAGTACAACAGAGAAGATCAACTTTGATTAAGTTCCCAAGTCCAGGGAAACAGGTCAAGGATAGAAGAATTGGCGATTTAATGAGGGGGGAAGATGAAGTGTTGAATTTCAGACAAAATTATGAAATGCTAACAAAACCTCCAAATGACTAAGAAAAGAAATTAGAAAACTGAAGAGCTTAGCTTGGTTGAAAGGGATTGTATACTAACTGAGAAATCATTGGAACAGCAGTGGACACAGAAAAGTGGAGCAATTGCTTCAAGGAGTATTGAAGATAAAATAATAGATCGATCCATGGCAAGAATGCATTATCCAAAAAATTCGAACACATAGGTAACAAAGGAAGAAAATGTACAAACAATAACAATAAAAGGCAAATTTAGTGACTGAGGACAAGAATTTAAGGCAAGAGATAAGGAAGTTGGCACCCAGAGTGGAAACGAGCTTGCCCTTCACCCAGCAAGTCCCTCGCAGGGCCGAGAGCCCCAGTCTCACATTCCAAGAACAGCGTTCTGCGGGGAAGCGTGAGACCCACAGGAGGCCCGCGGCTTTGCAGTCGGGGTTAGAGGGTGGGGAGAAGCAGAAGGAAGCCTGGGACAGGCACAGTAAAACCCCACTCCTCTTCCTCTGAGGGGACTCCTGCGCGGTCCAAGAGAACGGTGAGGCTAAGGGGATGGGGGAGGAGGAGGAGGAAAGGGACCCTCGGGGGACCCGAGTCTCCTGAGGCAGGAAGATGAAGCCCAGAAGCCAGATCCAGAGCAACCCCATGGCTCCCAGCCCTGCTTCCTAGACTAGTTCCCACCCTGATCTATCCCAGCCAGCTGCCCACCGCACATGTCCCTCCAGCCTGGTGGCCTGGTTCCAGTCAGCAAGATTAACAGGATTAGGGGCTGGGAGGGGCAAGGCCTGGCGGGACAGGGAGCAGGAACACGACCTCAGCAGGAGAATGTGCCCAGCTGCACACACTGTACCCTGTGCTGCTCACTGCTTCCAGGAGAGGGGCTGCGGCATGTTCCCAGGCAAGGCCCCGGCTCACCTGACATATTTGTGCGTTGGAGGCTTGGCACAGTGTGTGGTGGCAATTCCTGATGAGAGGCACCGGTCTCTGCGCCGCTCTATGCGCCGGACATTCACTAAGTCCCTGGGGGAGGGAAGGTTAGAACTGGGGGCACAGAGCTCAAGGAGAGCTGGGCATGGTGGCACACACCTGCAATACCAGAAACTAGGGAGGCTGAGGCAGGAGGATCGCAAGTTCAAAGCCAGCCTCAGCAAAAAAGCAAGGCACTAAGCAACTCAGTGAGACCCTGTCTCTAAATAAAATACAAAATAGGACTGGGGATGTGGGTCAGTAGTCGAGTGCCCTGAGTTCAATGTCCAGTACAAAAAACAAAAAACAAAACAAAACAGAGCCCAAGGAGGCCTGTGAGAAGAGGGTGTGGGGATACTCACCTGGGAGAGACCACACCGCCTGCAGCCCCTGCAGACAGGTCGTAGGAAACAAGGGTGTTGTCTTCCACCTGCTGCAGGATCTGAGGGCCCATCAGGGGGACATGAGGTATAGCCCACACCAGGAAAGCCCCAGGGACAGTCCACATGTTAGGAACCTCCTAAACCAGCCTCCTCCCTGCCTGGGACCCAGGACTAAAAGCCATCACCCTTTGTGGGCCCTGGGCTGGGCACTCCAGGAGCATACTCCTGCTTCCCACCTCCTGCCCTGGCCCAGGAGGCACTAAGACCATCACCGCATTTTACAGAGGGGGAAGCCACCTCCCCTTGTTGTTACTGGTCACTCTAGGATATGGCTGGGCCCTGACACATGTGGGGAGGCAGGGCTGACCTGGCAGGCAGTCACCGTCTTGTTCCACAGCACCATCCTCTCGGGCTGCAGAATCACCTCTTGGTACACCAGCTCCGCAGGACAGGGCAGGAAGGTCTGGGCAGGACAGGTGGAGGCGGGTGGGGTCAGAGGGGCTCGGGCACACCAGCCCTTCCCTGTGGTGGGGGTGCTGCAGGGGGGGTCCCTCAGCCCCTTCCTAAAGCCCCAGATGGAACAGGAGGCTCCAGGATCCTCCTCCCTTCACTCACCTTCAGGATAAAGGTCTTGCCATGAAAGGGAACCTCGATGGTGTACATAGTGTCCCCATACTCCTGCGGTAGGGACAGAAGGGTGGTAGGGAGGAGCATGGGATGGGTTGTGGCATGAATGAGTGACAGGCAGGACAGGTTTTCACCAGGATTTGGGGGCTATCTGAGCAGCCATTAAAAAATGATGGTTCTGGGCCAGGGCTGTGGCTCAGTGGTAGAGCACTTGCCTGGCATGTGTGAGGCACTGGGTTCAATTCTCAGCACCACATAAAAATAAATAAAATAAAATAAAGGTTCATCAACAACTAAAAAAAAAAAAAAGAATTTAAGGCAAACAAATCTGGAAATAAACCCCAGCTGTATTTCTCATTTCCTAGGTAAACCTAGTAAGTCATTCAACCTAATTAAGAATGTCCTTTCCTAGAGAGGCAAGATGGCAGATTAGAGTGGGGCAGCATTTCTCCTAGCTTGGCTACCCAGAACTTTAAGCAATAGGAATACTGCTTCTCCCCAAGGCTTAGAGCAAAAAAATAATTGGAACTGTAGAGGGGCAGTCTGCCCTAGCCAAACCAGAGGCTGTTTAAGTTATTAAATGGGTCTAAAAGAAGTCACTCTGAGTTTAGCAATCATCCATGAAGAGCAGAACCAGGAGCCATCATAGCACCAATGGGAACTGGAAACCCAGATCCATGAGTTTCAGCTAGGTCCACATATACCTATCTTATCCTAGCAAAGACTTAACTGATACTAACAAATCTGGGGAAAATCAGAAACTGAGAGCATTTCACCTGGAAGAACACAAGTTGGAGAGGCTGGGGAGAACCCAGCTCTCTCCAACCCTGTGAGTCCAGTAGCTCTCAAGGCCAGCTACAGTGGGTCAGGAAGTTGGAAGTGTTGGTGTAAGGGCACTTGACTCTTGGCTTGCCTGGCCTACCAGTCCTAGGCCCCCAGTCTCCACTCCCCGAACCCTCTGTCTCTCTTACACAGCCTACTACTCAGCTAACCAGGACCATTGCTCCATCTCCAAGCCCAGACAGCCACTTCACCTCCCAGCCCGCTACTTCAGCACTCAGTGATTGACCCTGAGAGGCCAACATCCCTGGGGTACTCCTGGGGTAGTCTCCCAACATAGATTGGCATCTATCAGGCTCTAGAGCTGAATTGATTCAATACTGTAAGCAACTCACCTTGCAATAAAGCAACTGGAATCTCACTAACCCTAAGTCCCTGCGACCAGGAACTCTACCTATGAGAACTCCTCTCACAGAGCCAATGGGCAAAAACACCCTGGGAGTGGAATGGACAGCTTTTCCCATCCCATCCCAATCTCCCAAGAAAGGAAGTGGAGAAGTCTTAAACCCCAACCAGTTACTCACTGAGCAACACAATAAAATGAAAGAACTTGACAGCCCACGGCTCCTACTCCCATGCTCAGTTCATACCTCAAGAAGAAATGAAAAGAAAATCAGAATGAGTTGGGCACAGACAGCAAACACATATGCTTACTGACTATTTTGTCCACCATAGTGGAAAAGACTCCTTTTTAACTTTTCGCCAAGATTTTTCATTCTTTTGCTTTTTGGTATTGGTTTTGGTTTTTTGTTTTATTTGAATGTGTACTGATTCATACAAAGGCATCTATACATATACATATTTGTTTCTCTCTCATTTCTAGCATTTATTTAAGGTTATTATACTTCAATGCTCTGTTTTTGTAGGGTTAGGGTTTTTTATTAACATATTTTGATTTTGTTTTTGACTTGTTGTTTTTACCACTACTCTATTTCCCTTGTCTCTTTCTATTTTTTCTATTTTAACAACCAAATTCTGTCCTCTCCTTCACTCTTCCTTTAAATTCTTACTCCTATTTTTTCTCTCCTTTCTCTTAACAACATATCCTACATTACCAAAGCATCTGTCCCATTCATCCTTTGAAATGACAAACTCTTTTCTACTATCCTATCTCTCCTTCTTTCCTCTTACTCAACTCAATCCTCAATACCACCTAACACTAATTGATTTATATAGTATCTTTCCCACCCACTAAAGCTACAGCAATAAATAATATGATGGAAGTCATAGATAACACCTCTTTTTATTTTATACCAGAAAGATGGCTGTTTCCCTTCCATTCACAGATACTGTGCAGCACAGTATTTCATGATTATTTCAGGACAGATTCATGATTATTTACTGTTTTTGCTGATGGAAATTGCTGATTCTACTATTTCTGCTTATTGTATCAATTAACACTGTAGATGCCAAAATAGGAACTAAGTACCTAATCTACTGTTATGTATTGTTTGCATATGTTGTTGCTATCATTGGGCTCCCCCCAATTTTTGAGGTACTAGTTACGTAGAGAGACACTATTAGCTTGTAAGATAGAAACTTTGCAGGTTCAGGTTCACCCAAATAGATGGGTAGACATATGAACAATATAAAAAAGAAAGGGGATAAATCATTTCAAACAACACAGATTACCTCAATAATAGACTCCATTGACATCACAGTGGAGGAAATATCAGAAATGAAATTTGGAAAGTTGATGGTTAATCTGATCTATGAGGTAAATGACATAAGAAATAAAATCAGAAAGAAAATGCAAGAAGTGAAAGATCACTTCAATAAGAAGATAAAGATCCTGAAGAAGAATTCATCAGAAATGCTTAAAGTGAAGGAACCAAAAAACAAACAAACAAACAAACAAATTAAAAATTCAATGGAAAGCCTCACCAATGTACTAGACCACTTGAAAGGTGGATTTTTAGGCCTCAAAGACAAAGTATACAGTCTCGAAAATAACATTGACTATAAAGAAAACATGTTTAAAAACCATGTACAGAACTTTCAGGAGATACAGGATAACATGAAAAGGACAAACTTAAGGTACATCTGGATAGGAGGGAGAGGAAGATGGCAGAATTGAGGGATGAATTTCCCAGGTGGATCCATACCATGAACAAAGAAAAGCAGACAGGCAGCTTCAACAAAGTGGGTGAATGATCAAGAATTAGGGGGGACTTTACTAGAATCTAATAGTGGATACTCAAAACAGATCAGAGACTCGGGAGATCTTGTACAATAAAATAAGGAGGAAAGATCCCCAGCTCCTCAACCACAACAGCAGCAGGAGGTGCAAACCAGAACAGTCACTATCTAAATGCAGTAAAGCAATAAAGGAGTTAAAGGAACCCCTATTCTTGGGAAAACTGAAGCATGTCAGGGTACAGAGAACTTAGAGATCAAATACATTGTTCAAAAAAACAATAAACTGTGCTGCATAGTATCTGTGTATGGAAGGGAAACAGCTATCTCTCTTGGCGGTGTGTACAGAGGACAGAAGAAGGAACCATTTAGCAACTGCAGCTTGGGGGTCAGCAGGTGGGGAGCAGGTCACTGGCAGACCTGAGTCTGGCCTGAAAAAGGAACTCAGCAAACCGACTCTGAGTGACACAGAGTGTGCCTAAGTGATCAGCAGAAAATCAAGCATAGAGAGAGGTTTACATAGTGGAATACGGACCACAGAAACCCACCTGGCTTTCCCTTCCTCCTCCATTTCAGCTAATTGCAGCACCTGCTGGGAGAGAAATTACTGACCAGGAATTTAAACGGCCAAGAGTTAGAGAGAACGAGTTCAGAAACTTTATCAGAGAACAGGAAGTGTGGACTCCATAGGTGAAGTACTGGGCTAAGAATGAGCTAATACACCACACAGTGGAACCCAAAAGGGATTCCTGGGGTTCAATTTTTCTATGTGAACCAGTAATTGCTGTGTGCTGACTTAAAATCTCCAGACCAATAGGCTGCCAGTGAAGAGGATTCCTAAGCCTACATTCCATCATCAGGAGTTCAGCCTCCCCGACTAACCCTATCACCACAGCAACTACAAATATCCTGAGGATAGAGATAGTATCAAACTCCAGACAACACCACCTATGGACTGAGAAGATATACTGAGAAACTTTTGAACTCCAATGGAACAAACTTGTTCAATTTTTCATTGAGATCCTCTCTCTCTCTCTCTCTCTCTCTCACACACACACACACACACACACACATAATCTACAATTTTTGACACCAGGTATTCTTCATGCATCAGTTTACTGAGGGCTAGTATGTCTGAACAATATGTATGGTTTTGTTGTGTATTCTTTCATTTTTACTTTTATTCTTATCTTATAGTTTTTACTTTATGTACAATTTTTCTCTCGTTTAACGTGCTTCCTGGATTCTCTTTCTCTTTTCTCCTGGTAACAACTAACCTTTACTAATTCCTCATTCACTTTTCCTATGATTTTTGACCTTTATCTTCTCTCCTCCTCCCTCATAAACATCATATCCTACACCACTTCTGTTCTCTTCTTGTCTACCATTTGAAGTTGTAAACACTTTTACAAATTTACTGTATTTATTTTAGACAATAATTTAATACACCATTTTTTTTAATTGAGACAAAACTGTAGCCATCTTAATAGAAGATATTTGGATTAAGATAGTATATTGTTAGGCTTGGATGCTATTAATATTGGTCTCCCCCTTAAAGGCAAGAAAATGGAAGCCTTCAGGGACACTATAAGGCTACAGGAAGAAACTGTATTGCCCCAGATTCACAATGCTCAATGTGAAGACTAGCAACAGGAAAGACAAGGGGGGAAAACACCCCAGACACAACAAGGTGCTACAAAAATAGAATCCATTGACAATAGAGTAGAATAAATGTCAGAGAAAGCATTTAGAATGTACATAGTTAAATTGATCCACAACATAAATGATGATGTAAGGAGTGAAATCAGAGATAAATTTCAAAAGTTGAAAGATCACTTCAATAAAGAGATAGAGATTATGAAAAGAAATCAAGCAAAATTCTCAAATTAAAGAATCAATAAACAAAATGAAAAATACAATGGAACATATCCATAACAGACTAGATCACTTGGAAGACAAAACCGCAGGCAATAAAGAAAAAATATATAATCTTGAAAATAAATTTGACTGACCAGAGAAGATGGTAAGAAACCATGAACAGAACATCCAAGAATTATGGAGTAACATGAAAAGACTAAATTTAAGATTAATCAGGATATATAAAAACAGGGAAATACAAACCAAAGCAATTCACAATCTTTTCAATGAAATAATATCAGAAAGTTTTACAAACCTAAAGACTAAAATGGAAAATAAAATATAAGAGTCTTACAAGACCCCAAACGTACAAAATTACAACAGATCCACACAAAGTCACATTACAATGAAAATGCTTAGCATACAGAATAAGGGTAGAATTTAAAAGTTCATGAGGGAAAAAAACATCAAATTATGTATAGGGAGAAATTAATTTAAATCTCAGCTGATTTCTCAACCAAGTCCTTCAAAGACAGAAGGTTCTGGAACAACATATTCAAAGCTCTGGAAGAAAATAGAAACCAACCAAGAATTTTGAACCCAGCAAAATTAAGCTTCAGATTTGAAGATGAAAAAAAACCTTCCATGAAAACCAAAAGTTAAAAGAATTCACAACTAGAAGGCCTGCACTACAAAACATTATCAACAAAATATTCCATGAAGAGGAAATGAAAAAGTGAAAATCAGCAAAGGGAGGAATACACTAAAAGAATAGTCAATTAAAGAAGAAACTGAGTCAAATTAAAAACCAGAAGTAAGCCAAATGGCCAGGAATACAAATCATATCTCATAATAACCTTGAATGTTAATAGCCTAAACTTATCAATCAAAAAACATAGACTAGCAGACTGGATTAAAAAGCAATACCCAACAATATGCTGTCTCCAGGAGACTCACCTGATTGGTAAAGATATCCACAGTCTAAAGGTGAAAGGTTAGAAAAAAACATAAATCACATTAACTATGTAAACAACCAGGGGCTTCTATCTTCATAATCAGAAGGGATAAAGTTGGACATTTCATACCGCTTAAGCGAATTATACATCAGCAAGACATAACAATTGTAAATATTTGTGGCCAAAACAATGGAGCATCTATGTACGTCAAACAAACCTCTTTCAAGAATCGAATACTGGGTAACATTAATACAACTCTCTCACTACTGGATAGATCTTGCAAAAGAAAACTAAACAAAGAAACTGTGGAACTAAATAATACAATCAAAAATTTGGACTTAATGGAAATATATAGAATATTTCATCCATCAATGAGTGAATACACCTTCTTCTCAGCTGCACAAGGGGCTTTCTCTAAAATAGGCCATATCTTATGCCATAAAAAAAACTTTTAGAAAATATTAAAGAATAGAGATACTACCCTGCATTCTATCAGATCATAATGGAATGAAATTAGAAATCAATGATAAAATAAAAAATATATGCTACTCTAACACCTGGAAACTAAATAATACACTACTGACCAATGGATAGCAGAAAACAATCAGGAATGAAATTAAAGAAATACTTAGAAGTAAATGAGAACACTGTTAGAAAATATCAAAATCTCTTAGACACTATGAAGGCAGTGCAAAGATGAAAGTTTATTGAAGTGAGCTCATTCATTAAAAGAACAGAAAATTAATGAATAAATGACCTAAAATTACATCTCAAAGCACAATAAAAAGAAGAACAGGAATTATTAAAATCAGAAATGAAATTGAAACAAAACAAACAATGCAAAAAAATTACAAAATAAAAAGTTGTTCTTTAAAAAATGATTAAAATTGATAAAACCTTGGCCATGCTAACAGAAAGACAAAGAAATCTCAAATTACTAAAATTCATAATGAAAAAGGAAATATCATGACAGACACTCAGAAATATAGATGATAATCAGAAACTATTTTGAAAATCTACACTCTAATGAAATAGAAAATCTTGAAGACAGCAACAAATTTCTACAGACTCATTTTCTACCCAAATTGAATCAGGAGGACATAAAATATTTAAAAGATCAATTTCAAGCCATGAAATATAAGGCACAATCCAAAGCCTAACAACAAAGAAAAGCCCAGGACCAGATGAATTCTCAGCTGAGTTCTACAAGCTCACCAAAGAAAAAATAACAATACTCCTCAAATTATTCCATGAAGTGGAAAAGGAGGGAATCCTTCCAAATTCTTTCTATGAAGCTAGTATCACCCTAATACCAAAACCAGACAAAGACATATCAAAGAAAGAAAACTTCAGACCAATATCCCTGATGAACATAGATACAAAAATCCTCAATAAAAATACTGGCAAATCACGTGATAAAACATATTAAAAAGATAGTGCCCCGCAATCAAGTGGTCTTCATCCCAGGGATGCAAGGTTGCAAAATAGAGAAATCAATAAACATAATTCATCACATCAATAGACCTAAAGGCAAGAATCATATGATCATCTCAATAGATGAAGAAAAAGCATTTGACAAAATTCAGTGTGCATTCATGCTCAAAAAATCTAAAAAAAAAAAAAACCTGGGAAGAGTAGGAACATTCCTCAACATTGTAAAGCTATATAGGTTAAACCCAAGGCCAACGTTATTCTAAATGGATAAATATTGAAAGCATTCCCTCTAAAAACTGGAAAAAGACAAGGATGTCCTCTTTCACCACTTTTCTTCAGCATAGTCCTTAAACTCTAGCCAGAGCAATTAGAAGAAAAAATTAAAGGAATACTAATAAGAAAAGAAGAACCCAAACTATCACTATTTGCTGACAACATGATTCTATACTTAGAAAGTCAAAAAATTCCACCAGAAAACTTCTAGAACTAATAAATGAATTCAGGAGAGTAGCAGGATATAAAATACCCATAAACCAATCATGTTCCTATTCACCTGTGATGAATTCATTGAAAGAGAAATTATGAAAACCACCACATTTACAATAACCTCAAAAAAATAAAATAAAATGCTTAGGAATCAGTCTAACAAAAGAGGTAAAAGACCTCTACAATGAAAATTACAGAACACAAAAGAAAGAAATTGAGGAAAACCTTAGAAGATGAAAAGATCTCTCCTTCTCTTGGATTGGCAGAATTAACATTGTTAAAGTGACCATACTACCCCAAAATGGTACACAAATTTAATTCAATTCCTATTAAAATCTCAATAAAATTCTCTGTAGAATTATGAAATTCATTTTGAAAAATAAGAAACCCAGAATAGCCAAAGCAATCCTTAGCAAGAAGAGTGAAGCAGGAGGCATCACCATGTCAAACTTATATTATACTACAGAGCCATAGTAACAAAACTAGCATGGTATTGGTACCAAGAGAGACCAATAGTACAGAACAGAAGAAACAGAGATAAACCCACATAAATACAGTTGTTTCATTCTAGACAAAGGCATCAAAAACATTCATTTGGGAAATGATAGCCTCTTCAACAAGTGGTGCTTGGAAAACTGGAAATCCATATGTAGCAAAATGAAATTAAATCTCTATCTTTCACCCTGCACAAAACTCAGCTCAAATGAATCAAAAACTTTGGCACTAGTACAGAGATCCTGCACCTAATAGAAGAAAAAGTAGGTCCAAATCTTCACCATGTTGGCTTAGGAACTGACTTCCTTAACAAAACTCCAAAAATGTAAGAAGTATAACCGAGACTCAATAAGTGCGATGGATTCAAACTAAAAAGCTTCTTCACAGTGAAGGGAACAATCAATAACTTGAAGAGAGAGCCTACAAAATAGGAGAAAATGTTTACTTCATGCACCTCAGATAAAGCACTAATCTCCAGGATATATAAAGAACTCAAAAAACTTAACACCAATAAAAACAAATACTATCAATAAGTGGGCTAAGGAACTGACCAGACACTTTATAGAAGAAATACAATTGATTCAATAAATATATGAAAAAATGTTCAACATCTCTAGCAATTAGAGAAATGCAAATTAAAACTAAGATTTCATCTGACTCCAGTCAGAATGGCAATTATCAAGAATACAAGCATCAATAAATGTTGGTGAGGATGTGGGGAAGAGTTACACTCATACATTGCTAGTGGGAATTCAAATTGGTGCAACTACTGTGGAAGGCAGTATGGAGATTCCTCAGGAAATTTGGAATGGAACCACCATTTGATCCAACTATCCCACTCCTCTGTTTATACCCAAAGGACTTAAATCAGCATACTACAGTGATGTAGCTATATCAATGTTTATAGCAGCTCAATTCACAATAGATAAACTATGGAACCAACTAGGTTCCCTTCAACAAATGAATTCCACCATCATGTATATCCATAGACACTAATTTTTAAAAAAACTATAAATATCACCATCATATATATCCACAACACTAATTTTTTTTACAAAAACTATAAATAAATAGCCGAAAGATCAGAAGAGAGAAGAGAATGGGGGAGGAAAAGGGGGAGGGAAAGGGGAAGTTCTGGGGACTGAATTAGAGCAAATTATATTCCACACTTTTATAATTACATTAAAGTGAAACCTATTGCTATGTATAATTTAAAAGAACCAATTAAAAAAGAGTGAGGGATAAATGGTACTAAGGGTTTAAGGGAAGAAAGAACTGAAAAATGACCTTGAATTAAGTCATTCTCTTGACCCCCTATTTACTTATTTTTCCATATCACTCTTACTATGCTGATACTATTTATTGATCATTTCAAGATTATAGTCCATAAAACTATATTGAAATATTCTTCAAGAAAAATCATAAATTCTGTAACTTTGGGATATACTAGCACATTCATTATTTATCAGATAACGAATATCTTCTAGATGCTCCTCAAAAACTTGCTGGGCTGTGGGAATATCCCTGTCATACAGCACTTGCCTTTGGACTATGGAGGTGTTCTGGTTTAGATATGAGGTGTCCCCCTTAAAGCTCATGTGTGAGAAAATGCAAGGAGGTTTGGCTGGGAACTGATTGGATTATAGCCTTGGCCTGTTCAGTGAGTGGTGACTGGAGGCAGGTGGGCTGTGGTTGGAGGAAGTGGTTCATTGGGGGGGAAGCTATAGGATACATATTTTGTATTTGGAGAGTGGAGTTTCTCTCTCTCTCTCTCTCTCTCTCTCTCTCTCTCTCTCTCTCTCTCTCTCTC